ATAATCATGAATCATGCTCTCATTGAAAATTCAATATAATTTGTTTCATATATTTTTACTAAAGATGTCATTTTCAATATTCTTGTATTCTGTATGTAAATATTTCAAGTTTAAAATTGTTTAAATTGTTTAAAATTTCAAAGTGTAAATCATACCTCTTAACAAAGTAGCACAAGTGCCTTTATAAATACTTCTGATGCCTCCTTCTTGATACAATTGCTTTACACAATCCAAAGGTCCACTATATTTTGGTTTTATGTCTGCATGCTGTATTTGTAACAGACACTTGATACGTTCACCAGGAGCCATTATAACTGTCGTGAATATGCCACTAAATGCACCAGCGTAAAATAATTGCAATGTTGAGAGTTTTTCATCTGGAAAACTCTGTTGCAGTTTTTTTCCAACACTGTATCCAAAAAAACTTATCGCAAATATTGGAGCAACACCAGATAAGGGTGCACCCATACCTAGAGAAATATATTTATTTTAATAATTTTTCAAAAACATAAAATTCTAAGATATAAATAATTTATAGAAATATCATCTTTATTAAAGTACAATTAACATATTTAATTTTATAATATATAAAATATTCTTATAATCTTGAAATTAGAAAAAATTGATTTTTATATGATATTCAGTGTGAATATAAATACCCTTATATAAACCACGTATTCCCTCTTTGGTAATTGTTTTTTTAGCACAGTCCCAGGTACCAGAATACAGAGGCAATTGGTTGGGACCTGGCACTGGCATCGTCTGGAGCCGTACCTGTATAATAATATTTCTTTCATGTTTCATGTTTCATAAATTGCATTTGAAAATTCTGTATTTTTATTTGTAATTCTTAAGAAAAATTGATTGTCATATTTAGGCAGATCATAAATGAGGAAGAAGAGAATAGAAACATTCAAATCCCAAGTTTAATCTGACTTAACAAGCTGTTGAATTAAAATGTATAACCTCACCTTTATGGTATCCAGAGGGTGGCCAGCTATCACGGTACACACCCCTCCGAACCCACCACTTAAGAAATATTTAATAGGGCTAACGGTATCCGACATGATTATTAAATGACTAAGAGACTTCCACTTAATAGAAGTGCCGATGAAATAACAAATCCAAAGCTCGTTCAGACAAGCCAGGGGTCAAAGTACAAGTGGTCCTCGACGTATCAAGATCATAAACTCTATTAATCAGTCATGATATTTTTCGCATTGTTTTACGTAACTTAAAATATATTCATAGTCATATGACAGTAACATTTTAATATCAAAGATAAATCAGAGAAAAATCAACAAATACATCGTAAATGCAGAAATAATTGGTCTGTACTTTGTACTCTACTGTACTTTACATTTTGTTACATTTATTGCACTTGGGCACCTATTATGGAAATGTTCGGAATCGATTCCGATCAGAATTATTTCGTTTTTTCCCAGATATTCTTAGATAAGTTATGGACACTCGGATCATTTCTGAATCGATCGGAAAGTTTTCGTCATCTCTCGAGCTGTCGAAATGTTAATTCCGATGAATGAAATAGCGAGACCCAATCAGTGATAAAATGCGTAAGCCAACTTAGCCAAGTGCGTCTACGATTAGAGAGTCGTGATAATGATAAGTATTAAAAATATTTTTAAC